CTGCCGCAGCCACCGCTCTGGGTCACTCCCTGTCCACCTCCTCGCAGCTCCCCCTCTCCACTGACCTATCAAGAAGCTCCCAATTTCGTAGGTCCACCACTCGATGCACACCATGAGCATGCTGGGGACAGCCAGGGAGGTGAAGCTGTCCCACTCCATCAGGCACTCGCTGGACCAGCCTGCGGAGAGGAGAAACGTCACCTGATGGATGACCAGACTGGTCAAGTGTCACATCCTCAAGAGAACCCGAGGCAGCTGGAGGTGCTGTTCCTGTTTGCAGAGCCACCAGGGCAATGCTCCTCAGCTCCACAGGACCTTCAGCAGCAGAGTGTGCACGTATGAGGTCTGCTGATGCCATCCTGTGGGCCACAGAGCAGTGCAGCCCTCTGCTCATCCCCCCTGGAGCAGAGCATCTAAGGAAAACCTCATGCTTATGTCTGTGCTCACCAGGCTTGGGGCTGAACCCTACAGAGCCTCGGCAGAAAGTTTCATTTCTCCAGAATTAATGTTTAGTGCCCAGCACGGTGCTCTGCCAGCGCTCGCGCATGACGAGCTGCCACCGAAGCAGCACCGCATCCCCAGGGTGTACCGGGCTGGGGTTAATATTTCACCATCGGGACTAACAGAGTTCATTTGCTAGAAGTGGAAAATTCACGAACACGCGTGTGAAGTGGGAGCTGGGGAGACGCCCTTACCTCCCCAGGTCTTCACGTGGAGTTTCTTGCCTATAATGTACAGGAACAAGAAAATGGTTTGTGAATACTGAGCAACGGTGTTGGCCCAGGCAGAGCCCCTGCAAAGGAAACGAGAAAGGTCGTTGGCATCCTGCTCACACCTCCCCGGCCTCAGGGTGCCGAAGCATAACGTCCTGCCGTGCCCCCGCGAGCGCCGGGTGCTCGGCGGTGTCCGGCGGTGCTGACATCCCTGAGAAGTCCCCTGCCATTGCCAGTGTTGTGCTTTCCCCTCCGTGGGACACGGGCGTTACTCACGTGATGCCCAAGTGGAACACGTAGAGGAAGATGCAGTTTGCGATCACGTTGACGATGTTGCCGACGATCCCGCTCAGCACCACCGGCCACAGGATCATCTGCAAAGAGGAGGAGGTAGGGGTACGGCGTCTTCACGAAAGCCTCGGGCGAGAGGTGTGCCGGCCCCCGCCAGCCCTGCACTCAGGAGCTTTCCCAGCCAAAAAACAAACTTCTGGTGATGCCGCCTGCTTGGAAAATGAGTGTGTTGGAGGTAAATCCCTGACGTGGGGAAGTATGAAGGGAGGTCCATCAGGCAGATGGATACTGGTGGCTGTGGGATGGGGTGATCTCCGGGGTCAGAGCTGCTCCAGCTACCCAGGTGGTGGTGGGACACGAACAGCGAGCATGAAAACCCTGGGTGCATCATTGAAGGGAGCCCTGAGCGGGGGCTGACCCTCTTTGGGCGCGAGGGCTGCGGGACCCACCTGGTTCTGCAGGTATTTTGTCTCCAGGTTGTACAGAAAGACCGCCTGAAAAGGAAATCGGTGGATGAGATGAGGCCAGCGCTGAGCAGGGGCTGTGCTGCTGCCGTGGAAAACAGGGGCAGGACAGCCGGTCTCTACACGTGGCCAGCACCCAAGGTGTCCACAGGAACTCACCGGGAGAGCGGGGACAAACACCATCACGTAGCGCTGGGTTAACCTGGGGGGATGAGAGAGGCATGGTCAGGGAGGGGCCATGGCCACCGTCCCCCCCAGCCCCACCGTGCTGGGGAGGGGACGAGGCAGTGGTGTCTGGTCCACGGGACCACCCGACCTGGAGACATCAGGGTCCTGGCGGATGAGGAGCAGGAACTGCTCGATGTTGATGAGGATGGCGCAGCAGGGCAAGCAGCAGAGCAGGAGGATGAGGGTGGCACGCTGCAGGATCACCCCCACGCGCAGCAGGTTCTTGCTGCCGTAGGTCTGCAAGGTGAGAGGGCAGTGAACTCAGCAGCGTGCCGGGGATGGGGGGACGGGGACCCCGCAGAGCACAGAGGAACCCTGACCAGCCCAGAGACCGCCCAGGAAGGATTTGGTGTTTCAAGGGAAGGACAGAGCTCCCTGTTATGGGGGATGAGCTTCCCCAGCTCATGGGTGCAGCTGGGGCTTCGTGCAGTGCCTGGGCACCATCAGCTGATGCCAGAAAACCCCATGCCTCCAGGACAAGTGCCAGCATCTCTTACCCACCTGTGACATCAAGGTGTCACATGCCGAAGCCAAACCATATCCTACAGAGATGGCAGTGACATTTATAACCTGGAAATAGGAGTTGAAAACACAAAAGAGAATGTGAGCATTGAAGACTTTTAGGAAGGGAGAGGGGCTAAAAGGAAAAGTGGGAATCTGAAATCTCCCCTGTCCTTGTCCGCCTCCACTCTCGTATCCCCTCCCAGCGTCAGCGGGTGGGAGCTGGTGCCTGGCGCCGGGGCAGCCCCCGGGAGTGCTTACAGCGATGGCCAGCGTGACGGAGGCCAGCTCGACCTTGCCCAGGTGGCCGCAGAATATGGAGCTGACGAGGTGTATCAGGAAGATCAGCAGCTGGATCAGGATCTAGATGCGGGGAAGAGGAGAGGTGAAGGTCAGGGACAACGGTGCTGGGAGGAGACCTCCGGGCAAGAGCAGGGCACAGGATGGGAGGGCAGCTGTGTGCATTCAGCTGAGTGCATATAACGAGCAACCCGATCCCCAGCACATCAGGTGAAGCCGATCTGAGGTTTCTGAGCCCCTTGCCGGGTGTTCAGCAGCACTCTGGGTCTGTCTCCTCCAGGAGCTGTTGGAGGTTGCACATCGGCCGGGCTCTGCTGGCTGAGGGACCCCGCTCCCAGGGCTCCTGTGGCACCAGGCTGCATCCCCACACGCCAGCGCTCTCCTCCCAGGGGCCTTACCACTGGCCCCGCCAGCACCAGCAGCCCCTTCGCGGCCTCCCAGAAGTTGTCCGGAACCAGGCGCTGAAGCCAGCGGCGTTTCTTCCCGCAGCCGCCGGGTGTGAGATCCTGCTGGCCGGTGGCCATCGCCTCGCTGAAGCTGTTCTCCTCGGGGACGTTCGCCTCCTTCATGCTGCCGCTCTGCCGGGGGAGTGGAACAACCCTCTTCCTCCGCGCTTGGTTAAAGCCACGCTCCCAGGGTAAGCAATGTGTAACCACGGTGGGGTGAACTTCAGCCGGGGCCGGGCGAGCCGACCGCGTGCTCCCTGCTGCCGGCAGCTCGGGTTGGGGACGGGAAGCGGGGGCAGTGGGTCAGGGCAGCCTGGGGAGGGT